AAAAAAAAAAAAAAAAAAAAAAAAAAAAAAAAAACAGCTGTCTTTACAAATGATAACTAATTTGAGCGTTTCTAAGCAAAATTTCATTTTGTACCCCGCCCTGCCAACACAGACGGCACATATATAATTCGGAAAAAAATGCCACTAGCGGGTACCAAATTAAATTTTACGGTTGACTGACACGCATAAAACAAAGGCCTGGTACACTTCTAAAACGGATTTCTGAAACCATTCAGCCCAAAACTCATGTGGTTAACAAAACTCTTAAAAACCAGCAAAACTTAATAGGCATTCTATCACCACCAACAACAGTAATATGTGCACTAAGGGTTCAGAAAATTACTCTGTTCAGCTACGCGGGTTTCAACAAACGGGAATCAACAAAGCATTCAAGTTCAGACAACCCGTCGCCTTCTGTCCAAATGACCGCAAATATCACTTGAAGTTACTACAATTCTTTATTCAAGCCGGATTTCAAAGGCGCCCTTATGTTTAAATCCACACGCGACGCACGCTGCTTGAAACTTTTCGTTCCGAGACCCGTTTTAAAGAAAAGACATGCCTTTTACAACAATCTAATGGTTGCCGCTCAACTGGCATTTGGCGCGTACGGGCGCTCGAGCGCCCGAAGCGTCACTTAATTTGATAGCTGCATATAAACTAAAAAGCCGGTTAGATAATGGAGGTTGCGTGCTCGTTATAGTCAACTGGAGTTGTAATATTAGGGATGTCGCCACGGTAAATACTTTCTGTTCAAGTAACTCTAAGCGAAAGGGAGGGGGGATTTTCGGCTGCGACGACTTCTCATCTGAGAAAAAAAAAAAGTAGTCGACTGGAATTACAGGGCAGGAAAGGTTCCTACTACAGTTACTCAGAAGATGTTTTTACCTCCTTTTCCCTAATTTTGACACAGGTCTTTTAAAAGCCTAGAAAGTTCCACAGCTCCCGGAAACAGAAACTTATTTCTCTCCTTTATTTCGTCTTCGAATAGCTCGTTTTGGCGGCATCCGACGTTTATTCGGTTCACAATGCGCTTCCATGTTACTGCCCAGTGTTTAAAATTTGTCCTTCGTAACCCGTAAACGTTTAACCGCAGAAATAACACCTCAAATGCATAGTGTTCTTGTTAGCAATCTCAGTGGGGATCGTTGTTGTCGTATAATATGGATTTACTTAAAAAGCTTCGCAACTTCTAATTAACTTTTACGTGAAAGGCATCGTGGTCACAAAAAGTGTTTAGTTACCGAAGTAAGAAGTATATGGGGCACTGCCAAAGATGAAGTATTAGTGCGGAGGTAGAACTTGTATAGCTTTCAAAAAAAGCATTGTCAAGTCGTGTGAAGTTCATTATTTAGTGCTCTGGGATTTCGGGAGGATGCTGGTAGATTGACCCTGCTTAGGGTGGCTGGTATTTACTACACGTAGTTCAATTTTTTAAGTGATGTGCTTCATCCATGCAGCCTGAGATGAAGAGTTCGTTGGGGCCCCTCATGTGAAGGGCTTTGGAAAAATTTGACTAACTGCTTGCTTTATGGTAGATTAGGGGTCTATGCAGAACACTGATATGTTTCTTAACAAAGACGAGATGGTGGACGGAGCACTGGAACAAAAAAAACAAAAGATGTCTTTTGAGCTTGGGTTCTCAAAAGGCGTGTGACTGCAAAAATTATAATTCTTACGACACTCCCTCCTTCCGCACATAGAATACCTGATGCTCTCTGCCGAATTCCTCATCTCTTCTGTCAGAGGCATATGCGCCCACAAGAGTAAAGGTGTACCAGAAATAAAGACTGTGGCAAAGCCATAAAGCTTTAGAAGTCTCCTTCTGAAATGACGAGTTCCTCATTGAGCGTCAAGCGAAAGGGACTTAGAATTTGAAAAAAAAATTACTGCAAACGCACCAGAACCCAAACCAAAATATACAGCTCTAAGAGCTGGAACTTCGCCACTACACCGGATCACTTTTCGTCGCTTTAAGAAATATACAAAGAAGTGCTGGGATGCAGTAACGTTTTCTTACGCTCAACCCTCGCGCACGGTTGCTGGTGCTGCCTTCTTATTCCCTTTTGTCGCTGTTGTACCTCAGTACTACCAACAAAAAAGCAGCGCGCCTATTCCGCAATCTTGCAGGAGTACAGTTCAGTCACTATTAGTATTTATCCGTTTGTTAGTTTTGGCAGCTAGCAGCAGTTTGCAAAAACGAAATAAGTGTTAGAGAACTTCAAGAAAAAAATTCATGTGAGAAGACTTCTCATCTTGGTCAATATTTTCAGGAATATAACAGTTAGAATTGGTGTTTTTGCAGTGGTCTCGTCTGCTTTCAAACATGCATTTTTCACATGGCTGACCTACCATTGTTTCCCTTGCGTGCGACTCTCAAAAATACCTGGTCCATCTACAGTGGTTTTAGATTTATTTGTGAGTGTGCGTTTCTCGTGGCTAAAGCACTGGGCAGTTTTCGCACCAAAATGAATTTTTAAAACAACATCCCAAATTAATGGGATGTTGTTTTAAAAATTCATTTCGGTGTGAAAACTGCCCAGTACCTTAGCCACATGAAACCAATATATTAATCTCATTTCGATAAAATGCCCTCTTCCTAAGCATTCTTAGAAGTAGTGAACAATAGACATAAAATGGCTACTGCAGATAAACCAAATCCGTTCGAAACTATGATACTTCATCACCATGTTGAGCTTTAATTCGGAAAAGTCTGAAGAGTTCTAGTAGAAAAGTAATTCAATACCCTATACATTCAATGACGTAAAGCCCACCTTTTAGAATTCCGATAACGATCAACAGTTTGGTCATTGTGCCAATTTTTTGTTTCCGAATGAAAACAAGGAGATTTCTCCTCTGTTTCTGTGACGTATTTTAGAAGGCTCGATAATTTATTAAAAGGATGAAAATCAGAAGAAACTTTATTTAATATGGTACAAAAAGATCACAGTTTTTGCGTAGATAATTTCCAGACCAACTTCTGACACCGTATGTATTCAGCTAAATGGCCCGTCAGCTGAAATATGCTTAGAATTAGTAAGTCTTAAAAATACCTACTTATCTACCTGTGCCCGCTATCTCTGTAAAGTAACGAGAGAATCGTCGGATTGAGCAGAATTCCTACCGCAAGTCTTGTAAAGAAAAAAAGATTTGCGTCTCTTACTTGATCAATAACTCTTGGTGGCATAGAAAAAGTAAGGCGTTCTCTGGCAGTTTCTTCGGGATGTGCTCCAACAGGTAAAGTTCTTTCTACAGTTATCATAAAATCGTTACGATATCCTCCAAATGAGACAAGCCTGCGGTATGGAAAACTTCTTAGGATATCCTAAACAATCAAGTGACTGGATAAAACTCTGAGGTTTTCCCTATAGAAAGGTTTAAAAACAAAGAAGTTTTTTGTAACTGACTAGCTGTTTATGTGTGAGTAGATGAACTCCTTGATCGTTAAGAGCAATAAAGATTTTTTCGTCGCTTCGCATCTTCATTTTTGCCTCACATATGTAAGAACCAAACAATCGCCATTTCCGCAAGACGACAAGTATCATCCGAATACACTCTGCGGGACTAGTATCTCTCAGTTGCGTCCAGTGAAATGCTATGTTGAGCCTGCAAAACTTACTTTTTTTCACTACACTTAGTAAAAAACCTAGAAAAACGATGCAAGGTTGCTTAAACAATTACAAAAAAAGATGACGGGTGGAGTACCTTAGAGTTCGCTCGCAGGTAACATCAAGCATTTTTGCAGGGAAATAACTTGTTGATATTGTTTTGAACTGTTCTTCCGACATCGCTTCACTAATATTGCCGAACCTCATCTAAAAAAAAATCAGTCACAAGAGTTAGTCGGGCACACATTGTTTTTACCTACAAGTCCTAAATAATACTCTTCTTTCCAGATCAGTTCAAAAAGGCTTATAAAAATTAGGCGTATAAATAAAGCACTTCCCGGGATACTAATATAAAACCTGCGTATTTTAAATTGACCTGTGCATACAGAGCAGCCAACTCTTCAGCGAGTTCATTGCTCATTGGCACTCTACCCGCAACAATTTCGTTTGCCATCCGATATACGGAAAACAGGCGTTCCGTAGCTGTTTCCATAGCTGCCAAATGACTCCAATAATGTCTCTGCCTTAGGGCGAGACGAATTCGAGCGCTTTCTTCAGTAACCCTCCCGCATTTTGTGTCAATTAGTTCCCGTTCCCAACGTGAAAGGCAGTCGCAGAGCTGGAAAAACTCGCAAGTGACAACATCTTGAGTAGGACCTTAAAAGAGATAATTAATAATTAGCGGAAAATACACTGCAACCATGCCTTCTGCTTTCCTTTTAGCAGAATAAATCGGCCCTCTTCACTAGCATCCTCAGCATAAAGTGCGTAACCACTTAGTAGTGCTGGCCTCAACCCACAACGTACACAGAGAGCAGAAAGACAGTCACCAATATCTGTAGAGCCATCAAAATCGATGATCTAAAAGTTGTAGTGCGAACTACTACACTTTTTGGAAACGTTCATAAAGTATTTAATGCGGAAAATATCAAAGCTTTTTTGAGAAAAAGTATTTTAATGAACTTTAAACACACGATTTAACGTAAGCAATATTCCTGAAGTTTAAAGTGGCAACAGTAAAAGCAGAAATACCAGTAAACATAAATGACTTATTCACATCCAAAGTTTGAAGTGTGCCTAGAACAGTAAAGTATGCTTCACTTACATGGTACTCGCCGTTTGGCAATAACACAGGAATACTGTGTGGCATAGTGGTAGATGTTGGGTCGCGTGCCAGTATCGATAAAGTTTCCAGCTTACTTGGTCCTTCAATTCGGCTGCCTACTAACAGACTGCGAGTTAGTGCTTTTTCACAGAAACGCGCCAGGTTCCCTTCATTATTCCTAAGTGCATTCCATCTCAAAAAAGGAATAAAACACGAAAATATTCAGTAATATATGACTCTGTGGCTCACTTCATGAGGGACCATCGTTCAATGTGCCGTCTGAGCATCCACAAGAGCGAATAAAGATGAGGTGAATAAAGTGGCAAAGCCAGTGCCAAAAGTTTCCAAGCCTAAAAAAAAAAATTTTGTTTCATATGATTATTACTCTTTACAAGTTGCAGATTAAAGTCTTGTAAGAACCCCTTATTATTATCTTTCATCAGATTTAGTGGTATTCTGATGAAAGCGAGTGAATCTGTACAGTGTCCAATGTGAAAATGTACAGTAACTTCAAATCACAGAAAAAAACAAACCTGTAAACAATAAGGCATCGTACCAGAAGTTAGTTTGATGAGATGGCTGTAAAGCTCATTTTTCAGATAGTCATTCTGCATGGCTGTACAAAGAATATTTTGGGCCAGGTCAACATGATACTGGATACCTGCGGGTTTCATAAGGACCGAAGCAAACATGTAACACGCCCTTCCTAATTCCAACGCTTTTTTTCTTGTTACTTCGTCACTGATTGACGTTAGCGGCGTTTTCGGCTTTTCTTCGCACACTGTTAACAAGGGATCATTCCACATTGAGTTCACTGCAAGGAAATTACTTAGGTCTAGTATAAGCCAGAAGTATTTTTCAATCCTAATCATTAAATAACAAAGCCAATATTTGATATTGTCCAGCTATTCGCTTTTAACTTAGCGAGTATAGTGCAACCTCATGAACATGAAAGGTTCTCAGCAAATTAAAGAAGATCACATAAAAAAGAAATGTGGTTCATAACTTACTGTCTGAAGTGTTTTGAGACATCATCTTTTGTAAAAATATTTCAAATTCAGTTCCGTTAAAGTTCGAGTCTCCAGCTGCCTTTTTCAAAAAATAGATCCATCGCTCCTTTTCTTCAGCACTTCTTACAACCATATAGACAGGATCAGATCCTGCCATCTAGAGATAAAAACTTTTAAAATGCTAAAAAAAAACGAAAAATTTGAGAAATTTTAAAAAATAAATGCTTCCTCTATACAATTTCACCATCTAAAGACTAATTTTTCAAACAGCAGAAAACAAGAGAAAACAAATATTCTTTAAAAGTCTGGCGCAAGAATTTGACACAGAGTAATGCGCATACACAACAATTTTAATACAAGTAACAATGTAAAATAATCGAAAAAACAATGCGGACTAGTTGCATTAATTCACTACAACTCGTCAAATAGGGACCATTCCTCAGCTTCTAGAAATATACAATCGCTTGATCAAAATAAGTAATTACTTTTATTTTTGTTAAATTCAGCAATTTATTTTAAGCAGACTTAAATAAGCTGCTTGAAATTTAAAAGTATTTCAGACTTCTCACTGACCTCAATAGATATTGTATAATCAAGTCCTCGAGAATCCTGATGATCTGACTGCTCATCAGAGCTTCCGCTATACTCATCGCTCGAATTTTTTGCTTTCTCGGAAATAACAGCACCTTTTAGAAACAGTTGAGAGTAAGGAACCTATAATTTTTTTGCTACCTGCTGCTTCACTTCAGACCCTTTGTCTAGTATACAGCTAAAACGAACATAAAGGAAAAATATACTCTGTCTTCCGGGTTTTTGAAAAAGAAAAGTTTGTCGTCGATAACAGAAGCAAAAAACCGTTTTGAGCTACCACATTTGGCCTATAAGAATAAATATCGTTCAAACAACATCTAATCACCAAGAAAAAAAAATAAAATGCTGAAAGTTCTATAATGCTTCAAAAATTTAGCCGGAACTTTAATTTCTTCGCGAGACCGGCTGATAAACTCAAATATTACAATAACCTTATTAAGGAACTTGGCGAATGGACTTCAAAATTTTCTCTAATTAGACAGCGTTGTTTGCCTTAATTAGTGAAGGTACCTTTACAATATAACCGCTGGTTTGAGCATTCAGTGAAAGCGCTCTCTGACTAACTTCTGAAATTACTGTCGAGCGTACGTTTCGGTTTAATGCGGAAAGCCACTCTTCCGTTATCTTTTCTGATTCACCGCAGTAACAGTATTCAGCGTTAATTGTGACTATCTGAAAATCTCTCTAAGACTTTTTAATAGACACTTTTTTCTTAGACAGTTTGAAATCTTAGAAGTTTGCGTTAATTTTGGTTTGCCTTTTTTGCGTAATAAAAAGACTTCATAGAGGCATGCTTAGACAATATTGACTAAAAAATAACTCAAACTTTTTGAAGAAAATTAAAGTTGGCACGTAATCTGAAGTAACATCCAAAGAAAAGGGAAAATCTTTTTGTATGCCTCACCTGGCCGCAAAAAAAAAAAAAAACCCAGACAATATTTGGGAGGTTTTAAGAATACGATCTCTGCCTATACGTTACTCACCGGAAGTAACGCGATTTTCCAAATTCCTAATTTAGAGTAATCAAAAAATTTCTGCAAAACAAAGTTTCTGATATAAGCGGTCTCACTCAAAAACTGAAAAATTACTATTAATTATAACTTTCAGAGCCTTTCGCAGTCTAAAACAGACCTATAATGAAATAAACTGAAAAATATGCTGTCCCAAGTTACCTGCAGTCCACTTCCAAATTTGTTCGTCACCTTCGTCACTGACCTTATATCTGACATAGCTATTTTTACTAGTGGTTCGTCACCTTTGAGATAGTTTTTCTGCAGGAATATAAAAAATAATAATTCATTTGCTTATCAAACGTCATACCTAACTCGCCATGTTAAAACATTCAAGTTTTTAGAAGATACGCATGAAATAAATAGCCGAACATTTTACAGAGAGTAGTCAATAAAAAGATAAGCATCCTCCAGATAAAAAAAAATGGCGTTTATTTTTAAAGAGATAGGCCTCCACATAACCAAAGCATTATAAAAGATTCACCTAAAAATTGACTTATTTCTTCACAGAAAACAATATTAAGGCAGAGCAGATTTATACCTGAGCCCTATATAGTGCCAAGTACCCATCCCTGAGAACAAAATATCGTCTCTTCAACGATTTTAGCCTACTATCAGTCATTTGAATCAAATAACCACTTTTCTCAACCTGTAAAAAATTTTCTTCTTCTCAGCAACAAGTATATTAGCGCTTTTTTGATAACACAAAATATCACTATCAACTTACCAAATCACCAGAATTTACCATAGTGGTCCGAATGTCGTGCACGGCATCTAGCGGAACAGCGTAGTCTGCATTTCCAAAGAATTCACAGTTCTCCGATCGTTTAGAAACTCGTGAATTTTGACCTGACCTTTTAGAAAGTGAAGAACAAAACCCGTTTGTCTGCAATCAATAATAAACTTTTAACAAACAGATCGTCACTTAAATGACGAAACCCTGAACTTTTAACGCATAATTGTTAAAACCAATGATAAGGCTACTCAAGTGTATCTAAATCGCATGTGGTTTTACCGTATCATTTAAGTGAATTTTGTTAAGCGTCCCACTACATTGAGCAACTTCATCCTCGTTTAAAACAGAACTTAGGCAACGTTCAGCGATTTGATACAATTTGGCTTCCTAAACTGGAAAACGTTATCTGTCCTTTCTTCCAAACACAGTCTAACAATTTACTTCCACTACGAGCAACTGAGACAATTTTTGCCATTAATTACTAGTAAAGCTACACGTACTTACCCACTGATTCGGTGGTCTATGAAGGGGCAGTGCTGGTGGCTTCACTCCCTCACAGTATTCGCTTTTTCCCAATAAATACATTTCATTCAAGTTTACGTATTCTGCAACGTCCCTGAAAACAACCCAGTGGAAACAAATGGTGCAGTTTATTGCAACTACTTAGAAAAGCCCCTTTAATAAGGTTTTTCTATTCTTAAAGAAATCTCTTGGCTGACAGAGAAAAGACAGTAATTCCTATTTTGTAAAAACGACAAAAAGGTGTAGAAAAATTATTTTAGTTCTTCTCATCCTTATTAGAAGTACAAACACTCTAGGATGAATCTTCTTTTGGAGAAATCTTCAATAATAATGAATAATAATATCAATAATAACAACAATAACAATAACAACAGTATAATGATAATAATAGGAACAATAATAATAATAATAGGGTATTAGTTATTGGTATTACTGTTATTATAATATCATTGATATAATAATAATAATAATAATAATAATAATAATAATAATGAAAAATAATAATAATAATAATAATAATAATAATAATAATATAATAATAATAATAATAATAATAATAATAATAATAACAATACTAATAACAATAACAATAATAATAATAATAATAATAATAATAATAATAATAACAATAATATAAATAATAAATAATAATAATAATAATAATAATAATAATAATAATAGTAGTAATAGTAGTAGTAAA